TTTGAAAGGCAAATGGGAAAAACCCATAAAACAGCAAACGGCCACATAACGCAAAACTATTTAAAATTAAAACGGAACAGTAGAGAAAATCCGATCAGAATGACAAAATAAACTAAGCATCCACTGGAAGGAATCCCAATATCTACAGACGGATCCGTTTCGGCCTTCCAGGTCTCATCAGTGCAGCTAGGGTACAGACCCAAACGAAACGTCCGACCAGCTTAGGTAGGGCCCAAACTAGTCCCACGACCACTATATATATATATATTGTTGTTGGAAATATATATAATATATATATAAAAAATGGGCTTATGTATATAATTATATAATTATATAATCATATATAGGCATAGGCATATGTGTCTAATATTAACTCAACCATCGTACTATAATGCTAAAATAGACTTTAGACGTGTTTATATATATAATATATCATATTGTAAATGGTACTGTAGGATTTAAATAATCCAAAAACATAAAACTATTGTTCCAACCGCAACTGAACCCAAATTCTTTGCTTGATGTGTAGACACTTCATTAACAGTGTATTGGCAGTGCGTGATATGGATATGCAAATATTTGTTTTAAACCCATCAAACATTTGGTGTTTTTTTTTTTTCGATGACAGTCCTGGTATTATCCACACTCCACTGTTTGAGAAGAAAGGCTTGAAATGGGAAATGGTGAGTTGTCATTTTAACACAAGGCCTACATAATCGAAAGTACAAAATATTCCTTTTTGTATGAAACGATAAAAGGTTGATGTGGATTTTGAACTAAAAATGCAATACCTCGAAATAATGTGAGAATGTCCTTTGATTTTTATTTTTTTTTTTTTGCTTAATTAATTGAAGGTATGTGAGGGCAGCAAACGGAAACATCCATTAGGCCGACATGGAGAAGACACAGAGGTTGCATCCGCAATTGCGTTTCTAGCCTCAGATAACGCGGCATCTATAACGGGACATCATTTACCAATAGATGGCGGGAGACACTGTATGCCCGGCAGTCCAATTGATGCTACTTAGTAATGGTGATTGATTGACTTTTAATTGATGCTGGCTGATTCATTGATTTATTTATCATTGTATTATATAATAAAGTAATATTTGTTGATTTATTATTGTATTATATAATATAATGTAAGAATATTGTTAGTTTTAATAAGGATAAAACTGTCATTATATTACAATATTTATATTATTGTTAAGTAGCCTACTATTATTCATGTTTTCAACTGGAATATATTAATTAATGATAATCAATAATGAACATTCACTATATACATTTGTGTATACACACGCAGTGGTAAATTCTCAGTATTTTCTGAGGGTAAGAAATTAGCTGTCGACTTTCCGTGAATGAATATTGAACGGTCTCTTCCCGAGCTCTTTTGGCAACTGTATCGCTGCCAGAGTATTCTAATGTAGACGGTCTACATCTACTCAGAATTCTACATAATTATTCATAATTTTAATAATAAGGATGATGATGATGATGATGATAATGATTATGATGTTAGTGATGATAATGATTATGATGATGATGATGACGATGACGATGATGATGATAATGATGATGATGATGATGATCATCATCATCATCATCGATGATGATGACGATGAGATGATGATGGGGATGATGATGATGATTGTGATGATGATGATGATGAGGAGGAGGAGGAGGAGAACTGTCTTCTAGTGTGCTGCCCAATTCACCACCAACCACAAATGTAGAACAAGCACCCATGGTGTCGTGGGTCATCCTTGGTGCTTTGGTGTGTTTCATACCGAAAAAAATCGATCCAATCCGATGTCTACATAAGTTGAAAATACTGTATATGACAATAATTTACACGGGTAAGAAAGTACAACCAATTATTATCAAGTACAGCAGGTAGGCCTTGGTCGATCTGAATTAGTAAAAAACATGAAATCTATCACACTCAATGGAGGATTATTCGAACAGAAATACTTTGATGCCATATAAAAAAGAATATATAAGTGTAGTAAAACATGTTTAGTAATGTACTGGTACATTAATATAAGGCACCTCAAATAATAGCAGCGGTTGTGCATAAACGTGTAAATATACGGGTATCAGCTGCTTTATTGAATTGGTTTGCATTGCAAAAATACAAGATCAACATTTTCCAAAAAAAGTGACGTCTTTTTAAAGGAAAAGAGGCGCTAATAACTGGTAAGTATTGTGTTGATATGTTTTTATAAGCTACACAGAACGAAATAATTATATATAATACAAATACATACAATACATAAGAAATATATTTTGAATAGAAGATCGATCACAAACATAAATGAAGAATCTCAGGGACAAGCTTGTGAATTATAAGCAAAGATAATAAATAGCAGAAGATAGAGCAGCTTCCCAATATAGTGGAACATCCGTTCAAAAGGCATTGTGGGTACAAGGAGAGCAATTTTACTGGAACCGCGGCGCTATATAAAAATAATAAAGGCGCTGCTCTTGTTCGCTTTTTTCCTTTAGTTTCTCCACTATGTAAAATGTTCAAATTTTACTGCAACCACAGAAGGGCGAATGTTCCATCGATTTTAATGCAAATACGCGGAGCAGCTCATTCTTCTGCTATTTAAGTTCTTTGTTATAAGTTAAAAGGTTAACGATTTGCAACTTCAAATAAATTGAATTCTCTCTTATTTAATGGGATTTGTGAGTTAAGTTCGATTGACAATCTAGAAAAAAATAACATTATATAAATTTCCAAATAAGGTGAATAAGAAAGTAAAGAAACAAAGGCACAGAATATCCACTTTTTGAAGTATATAATTTAATCTTGTACAATGATATTAAATACTAAGCACCTTCCAGGATAATTTATTCTTCAAACTAGTCAACAGCTTAAAATTAAAAACAAATAAACTATAACAAACTATGGGGTTCACCGATAAGTGAGACATAACATAGTATGAAACAAGAACTCTGATAGATGTGATGCAAGCCATCATAATTCAATATCCCAAAATATATTTTCTGGAATGAGGATGAACAAAATAAGTATACTTTATATACTATTAACACATAGATACCAACCTGAAAGATTTGAAATTCACGAGTGACTACAGTACACCTCTCTTATACACAGTTGGCTGGTGGACGACGATCTGAACATTTTTAAGCTGTTTTAAAACGATATCAGTGAGCGCTTGTTGACAATACAGGGTACATAACAAAAATAGTTTTAATAAAGGCATGTACAATTTGAGTTTCAAAGTATGTTCAATTTGAGTACTATGTACACAAAAATTTTATTACTCAAACAATGAATAGGTATACTAATCAATTTTCGTAATGCATTACTGAATTAAGTATTCAAATAAATATTGTACTCTCTAATGACTCAAGTTACTGCATGACCATTTTTAAATTTTTCATAAAACCAATTTCTTCTAATTTCAAATACATTTTACCCTGAATTTGTGATAATTCGTTAATACGCATATAGTTGAATGCTTGACAAATTTATGATTACGCATGTGTTTCTGCAAAATGCGCCTTTCGTCCAAAATCACCTTGATATGCGGGAAGTCCCGCACGATGCGAGACGGTTGGTAACTTTGTTAACTATGAATAAAGTTTAAAACACAGAATCGTCTTGAGTTTGCATCACCATTTTCAGAGTTTGTGCATCAGACCAACAATGTAACAAGCCTGAATCAACTGGAATGTCCCGCTTTGATCAAAGTAATGTACATGAAACTCTTCTTTGATCTAGCTATTAAGGTGAGAGTTACCAGTCCAACTATACTGTAGGAATATTTACATAAAATAAATTTCATTTAGTAGAACAACTATGCATTTCACTGAGTAATTCGTAAATTGAATAATTGAATACCGTCACTATCATCCCCATCATCATAATCATCATAATCATCATCATCATCATCATTATCATCATCATCACTGTGCTGATGGCAGTATTTGGATTTGTGCGTTTGGCTCTCCATAGCGAGTTTTCTTTTAGATATCCAAAATTGGCACTCTCAGACTTCAGAAGAGTGTCTTAATTTGAGATTTGAAAATTCAATTTGGAACAAAACAAAAACTGTACTTCAGAATTGCAACACCACAAAATAGCACTATTTAGACCAAAATATTTCACCAGCTCACTTTGCTGTAATCGCAAAAGTATGCCTGTAATTTGTTTTAATGTGAATTATAAGAAACGACATGAGATTTCAAAAAAAGCTTGAGATTTTAGGGGGCGGACAACATGCTTCTTATACTATTACAAAAGCACATTGCTTTCTACAACCAATTTGAGTCACATGACCAATAATAGTAGGTCGGGGTCACCAATTGTGTCCTTTTCATCACCCATCTTCATCAAAATGTTAATCTGCCTCATGTCCATGTGATTTTTACATACAAATTATGAATACTTTATCAGAACATCGATCACCAATGTGCTTAAATACTGCCCTCGCTCATTAACTCTCATTATATTGTGCTACTGCGGGATTAACTTTTGTTCGAAGGTTATGGAAATTTAATGCACACATGCAATATTTGTATTTCAATAGAATTTTTTCTTTTATTCTTATGCAACAGCTGTCTCTTATACACATCTAGATGTGTATAAGAGACAGGCATTAGTGAATTAAGTATTCAAATAAATATTGTACTCTCTAATGACTCAAGTTACTGCATGACCATTTTTATATTTTTCATAAAACCAATTTCTTCTAATTTCAAATACATTTTCCCCTGAATTTGTGATAATTCGTTAATAAACATATTGTTGAATGCGTGACAAATTTATGATTATGCCTATGTTTCTGCAAAATGCGCCTTTCGTCCAAAATCACCTTGATATGCGGGAAGTCCCGCACGATGCTAGACGGTTGGTAACTTTGTTAACTATGAATAAAGTTTAAAACACAGAATCGTTTTGAGTTTGCATCGCCATTTTCAGAGTTTGTGCATCAGACCAACAATGTAACAAGCCTGAATCAACTGGAATGTCCCGCTTTGATCAAAGTAATGTACATGAAATGCTATTCTTTGATCTAGCTATTAAGGTGAGAGTTAACAGTCCAACTATACTGTAGGAATACTTATATAAAATCAATTTCATTTAGTACAACAACTATGCATTTCACTGAGTAATTCGTAAATTGAATAATTGTTTACCATCACTATCATCATCATCATCACCACCACTGTGCTGTTGGCGGTATTTAAATTTGCGCCTTTCACTTTCCATTTCGAGTTTTCTTTGGCGTCGTTTTTTACTGTCGCTGCACGCTTTGATTAATCAGGACGGTCACGCAATTTTCCAAAATTTGTTTAGGTAAGATGTATTTTGCATTGACGATCATATTAGGTTGCATCAGATAATACCATTGTAGAATTGTTAGAGCTAGTATGTCCTACTGTATTCTTGTTTTAAATGCTAAATAGGCCACAGTTATTAACTACCACAGAATGCTCAGTCCTAGCCTTGCTACAAGTCCCTTGTTATTATTATTTTTTCTCATTCTGGATGCTACCTACAAGCAAGTTAATTTTGAGACAAAATAAAAAATCCGGAAAAAAAAGAAATCGAGTATGTGATGCCAAATAAATTATGGTGCGTGAATAACCCAAAATTAGGGCATGGAATCCAGGCTAGCTCAGTCCATGCATCATGGCCTCATTCTGCTTAGGCCTAGACCTACAGTTTACAATCTACAGCATGAATTCACGGTACGGTGTGAAGATATGCATTTAGATTAAATTGATACGGATTGTGACCCAAGTATTCTTCAAGATGTAGTTTATCGTATAAAGTAAATTAACTGTGTTACAGGGTTTAGTCACAAAAGTGGAGATAAAGGCTACCCTGCAGCCATGCAACAACTGGAAGAAAGTTATTGCGACAAGGAGGTGTTTGCGGGAACGTTCATAAGAAAAGCACTGGATTGGCCCTACATCAAACAAAGTGATGTCGAAACCCTTGACGAATTTTCGTTATTTCTTGTGGAGTGCAGTAATGCGGATGAGAGCATGGAGGCCACTGAAGTTCTGGATTATCCAGACAACATTAAGAAGTTAATGCTGAAATTGTCGACACCACTACAGGATCGCTGGCTGAACAAAGTCTTTAGACTGAAGGAAAGGAAGAAAGCAGTGAGATTTGAAGCATTTGCTGCCTTCATCAATGAAGAGGGCAAAAAAGTTAATGACCCCATTTATGGCTCATCAAGCAAATTCGCATCCGAAAAGTTCAACCATGAAATACTTACAAAGTCATGGCGCTTATTTGTGATGGTTAACAAAGCCGAATTGAAAGGTCCACGTCACAAGAATAAGGTGGAAAATGGCAGTTGCTCACTACACCAGAACAGCAAACATGACTTGCCTAATTGTAGGGCATTTGAGGCGAGTTTCCATACAGACAAGAAGCACCTTCTTAAAAAGCATGGGATTTGCTTCAGATGTCTTCGTTTGACATCTCACCAGTACAGCGGTTGCACAGCAACTAGATTGTGTGGGATATGCAACAGTAATAGATGCATGATTTTGATGCACATAAAAAGAATATCGCCACAAGTTGAAAAATCTTAGAAGAAACAATACAACTGCATGTGCTCCAATTTGTGGAGGCGATAATATCACAAGTCATGCGCAAACGTGGAGCCAGTGATTGTGATTCATCAAGATAACAAATCAGTTGCTGTAAAGACATATGCCTTGATAGACAACCAGAGCAACAGAACACCCGTTGTTGGTAAACTTTTCAACAAGTTTAGTATACAGCACACTGAAATGTCTGATAGGAGCACAATATGCAATAGCAGCTGTTAAACATCTGGTAAACATCTGGTAGATACGCTACAGGACTTGTCATTGAAAGTTTGGATGGCATCAAACTCAATCTGCCACCAGCAACCGAGTGCACACAAATTCCCAATACAATGCTCGAGATGAGATACCAACTCCAGTCATGGCTAAGCAGCATCCCCACCTACAGGATGTTGCAGACTTTCTCCCAGAGAAAGATAATAATTGTTCAGTGACGTTGCTTATCGGAAGAGATCTGTTGGAAGTGCACCATGTGTTGGACCAGAGAAGTGGGACTCCTTATGTCCAAAAACTTAAATTAGGTTGGGTAATTATTGGCCAGATGTGTCTTACCGGTTCTTACACACCAGATTCTATCATACACTAAATGATGCATGGACTGAGCATTCAGTGGTGATTAATAACTGTGGCCTATTTACCATTTAAAACAAGAATACAGTAGGACATACTAGCTCGAACAATTCTACAATAACTAAGAAATTATCTGATGCAACCTAAAATAATTATCAATGCGAAACACATATAATCTTACCTAAACGAATTTTGGAAAATTGCGTGACCATCCTGGTTTAATAAAGCGTGCAGCGATGGTGAAAAACGCCGCCAAAGAAAACTCGCTATGGAGGGAGAAATGCGCAAACCACATACCGCGAACAGCACAATCATCATCATCATAATCATCAAAACCATTGCCATCATCATTTGAACCATCATCGTCATCAGCCTTGTAAGTCATCAGGGCATAAAATTGCGTAGCTGAGCGTTCAGCTGCCTCTCTTTTTCCAGCATGCTTCCAGTGTGCTTGCGGAATGCTTCGTACTCCTAAAATGAAAAATCAAATCAACTCATTTATTTCCACGAACATGAACACAGATACAAATAGATAAATGCTTTACACTGATACACCACTCAGACTGCTCCAAAAGCAAAATCTACTTTGCAAAATACAGAAAATTCACTCAACTAATTCACTCAACTATCAACAACAACACCACTGACCAGTGAGTGAGAGACAACATTTTTCCCAAGCATAAATTTGGAAGTTGTTTTGGCTTATTTTTCTTTTTAAAGGAACATGGAATTATTTCCACATAAAATTCACACAATTTTCTGGTTCATCATCTTTACTCATTATCAACATAAAAAAAAAAACAAAAACAAAAACCACCCGAAACTCTATAACCCATATTATGAATTTTAATGCCCATGCACAAGGGCCTCATAAGCAAGTTTCAAGAGTCTCTAATATCAAATAAACAAGTAAGTAAGCAAACATTTAATCACCATCATCATTAACACGGACAAGCGTAGAACTGGATGCAATTAATAAATAATAAACAGAAACAAGAAATAAAAATTCTAAAGAACTATAGAGGGCTCACCATTCGCAGCTGTTTAATTGCTTTTTCTGCATCATCTCTTTCATTTTTAAGTTTGATAACTTGGATATTACTAGACACTGCCGCTGCTTCTCTTCTAAAAATGTAAATATAAAAATTATGCAACAGTGACAAATAATAATTTTAGAGTGATATAGTTGACCCAGAGGGAGTGTGGGGGAATGTTACTACTGTATTCATTTTGATGTTAAATTTTCCTTGCAAATTCTTTTATTTTGAACCCCACCCTCTGTGTCTACTCTTTTTTTATGGAATTCTTGATCACTCTTTCGTGAGTACAGTATTGTACATCAATCCAGCCAGATAAAAACAACAAGCAATAAAAATTAATAGTCACAGTGTTGCTTAACAAAATTACGTACATATAGTTCAAAATGTGTAGCACTAAAAAGTGTTAAGAATGTGTAGCGCTATAGGTAGATAGCATAAGAATCGAGAGTGCTGCAAGAATATGGCATAAGAATTGCTAGCACAACAAGAATTGATTTATTTTATAGTGACAATACAGACTGTCTCTTATACACATCTAGATGTGTATAAGAGACAGCTACAGCACTAGAGACAGATATATATGAACTTGTAAATAAAAATTTCATTAGGAGCACAAAGAACAGTTAAAGCCAACATTTTTATAACATAAGCATTAACCTCCATTCTAATGGTATTTAGTAAAAATATGATTATTAATGAGATTTAAATAGAATACAGTACGTATTACAGTATTGAAGTAGAAATTTACAAATTTGTATAAAAATGATAATATAAATCATCAAAAGCACAAAGAACAGTTAAAGCAGACACAAACTGCTCAAACATTAATAACTAGGCAGAAATTTCATAACAAAAGGAGAATTAAGCTGAAAAGAGTGAAGAACTATAAACAACCAAAGCAATAAAGAATTTAAACAATGTCTAAAAAAACTTATATGGTTTATTTTTTGATTAGAAATATGTTGTGCCTATTTTGATTTTGATGATCTAAAATTTTTTTAATACTTATTTGAGCCTTCCTCCATTTATAGCCTCATAAAAAGTAGTAAATTAGTCATGTTTTCTTCATTGCACTTTAGTCAATGAGCAACAGATTGTTAGGCTAGACTGCACACGGCTGTTGTGGTGGGGAGGGGGGTGTTCGGGACTCATATGCCAGTAACCATTTATACTACTGGGTAGTATAACGTAGACAAACATAGATAAAGTGTCTTGCATAAAGACGCAAGCGACTTGCACAGCGAGGCTTTCAAACCCCTGACTTCGAGGTTGAGTGCACTAGCCACAACTTTTGCGCCAACCACTTCCACATTTTCTATTTTAACATTTTATGAAATTTTGCATGTACACTGCAGGCAATGAATTTCCTTTGTGAGGATAAAAGTTTGGAATCTTGCATCTTGAATCCTGTTTTAATTAAATTTAAGGGGTAACAGATGAATATCTTCATATATTTACAATAACATCACAATCTAAACAAAGTGTCAGAATGTGCTACACTGATATACCAGCTTACCTGTTGCGTATTTGGTCTTAAATTATTCTACATGATTAAAAAATATATAAAATTCAAAGTAATTTAAATAAAACATAAAATTACACAACTACTTCACAAAATATTGATTATTATTCACAGACCCTTATTCACAGAAAATATAACAATTTAAATACTAATATTTTTCAAAAAAAAATTAAAAAGGATGTCAGAAACACATTAGATATTAAATGCACTTATATTTGTACTAATGCCAGATAAATTAAGAAGTATTATAAAAAAAAAATCTTATTTCTTACGAAAGATAGTAAATGGTACTTACTCAAATCTGTCCTCCATCTTCAAAACATCTTTCTCAGCTGCCAGCACTTTGTTTTGGAGAATCTTGATTTCTTTCTGTTTATCCTACAAAGTAGATAATTCAGAAGCTATATATATACTTATACTGTATATTTGTAATTACGTATGTGGCCAATACAAGCCAAAACAGGCACTCGTTGAAAATTGTGTTTCAGAGATAATGGCCAAAACATGTCAACATTTTAATTGCACTAAACTATTAAAACTTTATCTTTACATCATGCTATGTTTTTATTTTCCTTATTTTCGACGATCCAAAAATTTTAAACAATTTGGTGATGGTCTCTGCCTGGGAAATGTCCGATACTGTTCTTTAAACAGCTTATATATTTTAAACTCCTTTAACTTCATAATGAAATGTCTGATAAAAATATTTCTTTTACCATTTTTAACTTTCATTTTACTGCTTAACTCTATTAAGACTAAAAATCGATTTTTGTATGGAGTGACTGGTTTGGCTTGTCTTAGCCAAATATTCATTAATTAACTCACCTGCACACGTATTTATTTATGTATTTGTTTATTTTAAACTAATTAAGATTTCTAGTGTCTATAGCCAACTTTACCAATCAATCTTTGTTGATCAGACCTCATTTTGCCCCTTGGAAAACCCATAACCATAATACCATCAAAATTTAATAGCTTCTGTACTGTACCTGAATAAGTTTTCCACGTTGCATTGATAGCTGCAATAACTCATCCCTTTCCTTTGTCAGTTTTTCCACCCTTAGGAGCTGGTTGCTTTCCACAGAATCTCCCTTCATCTTCAGTTTGGTATTCACTTCCTCAAATTCTGATTTCAAAAATAAACAAAATATAAATTTAATTTATATCTCTAATTATGTCTGGGGGAGAGGTCCGAACCAAGCGCGCAACTAGAGCCTTGGTCATGGTCAAAATTGTGTTTTAGACCACAATATTAGGGATTGGCAATCAAAATAACATTAATTGGATAGGCAAATTATTATTTTTTATACAACGACCTTGTCATGGCATTGACCTAGGGATGGCGCCAGGGCAGATGCGGATGGTTGCCAACACACAATGAAATAACATTAATTTAAAATTCAAAACATTCTTATTATTTAGCGTGCACATAGACCACTGTGCCATATACACAATCAAAATGTACATTATTACTAATTCTATGAATTGAGTGTAAACTTGTATGCAATATTTATCTGTCTACAAACCAAGTGCATGTAACTTCAATCGCCCCTGGCCCTCAACTAAAATTTTAGTGAAATTTTCATCAAAGTTTTCAGACAAAAATCAAATACAAAGTAAAGAGAAATAAATCCCCTCACCTCATTTTTACCATACCTTTTAATTCTTGCTCCAATTGCTCAACTTTTTTCTGAAGAATTAGAAGATCCCCTGAGGAAGCATCCCTTTGTCTTGAAATTTCACTTTCTTTGCTCAGCACCTCAAATTTTAATTCGCTGTGTAAAGAATAAACACAATACTGTTAAACCTTGCATAGAAGCCCAATGGGCTTAATTTCGAGAAGTCCATCTAAAAAAAAAAGGAAAAAATAGAAGCCCATGGGCTTCTAATGAAGATAGTATGGGTTTTCTTTCAAAACAGTACTTACATTCAGACTGACGTTATCTTTGATTATGATAGAGTGTTAGTATCAATATTGTTCTATAATTTACTAGCATGGTTAACATTATAAAAGTATTAAACAGAAATTTGAATTCCATAGTTGAAAACTGTTGCATACTGTAGTACTACTATATAGTATCAATTGCAAATGTTTACAGCATTCATTTTGAAAATAAGCCCCACTCATTAATCTGCAAAAGCTGACAATTACTGTAGCTCACAATATGTGTACAATTCACTCTCCAATTCGAGACCACTCTTGGGACCTGAAAATTTGAGGTGGTCTCAGGGTTGGTCTCCAATTAGAGGGCTAACTTGTGTTAAAAGGTTGAAAATTGTTATTTGGGTCTTTGGAAAAGTTGTCTCAAAATAGAGGTGTCTCCATTTTAAGGTGCACTGTATTTTAATAATCAAATAAATGTACAAAAAAAATGCAATTCACACATCTTTAACCTTACGGCAACATTTTATTTCTCACCTGCAAACCAGTTCCATTTCTGCAACTTGGTCCTTTAACTTTTCAACTTGCTTTTGGAGAGTATGAATCTGTTCATCTTTTTCCAGAAGCTTTGATGAAAACAGGTTTTTATTTTCCGCTACCAATCTTGAATTTTCATCCCTTAGTTTTTTATTCTGTTGTTTGTATTCATCTTTGAAGCGAATCATTTCTTGATGGTTTTCGGCGAGCTCGCTGAATCTGGATTCAAGTAAACCATTTTTTTTCAGTTCAACATCAATGATCTGCTGGGCTTGGTCCCGGAACTGCACCATTTCATTGTTTACTCGCTCCAGTGTTTGTGATCTCACAAGTTCTTCATCCGCCCTTTTTTTCAAGATACATATTAATTGGCTCTGTTCGTCAATTCTAGATCGAAGCATTGCATTTTCAGACTTGTCATCTTGAGAGAGGTTTTTTAGTTTTTCGAGGCTTAGGATCATGTTATCAACATCCTGGAAATATTAAATGTAGACTAAGATCAACAAGAGAAAGTTTTTCATTTGAACAGTACTTCATATGGATTGGTTGAAGCGGCCACAAGTGAAAGCAACCGTCAATCGATAAACAGTATTAAGCCAAGCGTGCAGTATCCAATGTGTATGTTGGACAATTAGGCCTCAGAGTGTAGCAGCGATGCGATATGAACGCTGGTTTAATCAATTACCAAATAAATGTCTATTTTCTTACATACTTAAATTATATAAACCGGGAATTATTTGGTTCTTTAATAAATTATAATAATAATAATGTCTAATTTCTTACAGAATTGGATGGTTATAGCCCTACTGGGTAGGCCATGGGCCGAGGTCACAAATTCGCTTTTTATAATGAAGTATCACTGACCACCTTCTTATACCCCTTTTACACTGCAAGCAAAACTCTCCAACACAACCCGGGATTTTACAATACCCAGGCTAGAAACTCCTGAGTTGTGGTTAGAGTAAACGGCAAAAAATACCACCCGGGTTGCCAAACATCCCAGGTTCGATGTGCGGGAGACGCATTCAGCACCGGACAACGTGGAACAGTCACCAGTGTAAACAGTACACCGAATTCGATTCCGGAGTTAGACCTTACCTAACGCCTACTGCAGCCGTGTTCAGGTACAATGGGACTACTTTACTAGCAACAGGCTGGCCAAGACATTTTTCAAACTAACCCTCCTGTACTCCCGTATAGTCTTGATAACAAAGATGCTGATTTAATTCTCAAATTTAAAAAAATCTGCAGACACTGAGTCAATAATTACAATAATTGCGGCTTCATCGCGAGGAACTCGAGCGAAGTGATCATCACCATCACAACAAAAATTGAGGGTGGTATTTGAACCCGCATTCGTTGCCGGTGTGGGTGCAACTCTGGATCAACCCAGACTTTTTCGCTCAATATGTATCCAGTATCATTCTGGTATTAACACGGGCTTCCAACCTTGGCAGTGTAAAAGGGGTATTAGAATATGAAATTTTATGGAATACAAATTATTAATTATTTTAATGAAATCTAAACAATGTTGTCCTTCCCAGACAGGGTATAGGCCTATTAAAACGAAAAATGCAAAAAAAGTTTGAGTGCTAGGTCTCGTATCGTAACCATACACTGATTCATTAAAGTTATGCTTTCAAACCGGGGTTCAGTGGACTGAGGCCGTGTTAGCGCTACCGCACAACATTTACTGGACATCAGGCTAGCAAACGTCGATTGAAAAATACATATATTTGCTTAAAATGTGTGTTTTAACAATAAACATTACCACCACACCATGATGATTCATTCATGATTAACCCAAAAAGTTGAGTGAGGTTTAGTAGTCAATAGTAATGCCTAGGCCTAGCTTCTCGGCCGCTACAGTATAATTATCACAGAACCTAACTAGGCCTAGGCCTAAAACATTACAACTTTGCAGGTGTTGGATGGGGAGTCTGACTAGGCCTAGCCTAGACCCCTACCTAACCTAGGCCTAGCACTCAAAATATATATGTATTATCTGAAATAAAATAATACTTGCTTGCTTGCTCTCTGAAACCATGTGTTTAATATTCTTTGGAGACCTAGAGGAAGACATCGAAATAATGTTTTATAAGTTACATCAAAATACAGCAAACATTGTTTATAGGTTACTACCACTATTACTAACCCATATACAACATAATGTCTCCCTCTTCAGTTTACAGCACAGGGCGCCGTTTGGGACATTGGTTTTTATTCTGTTGTTACAGAAATAATTATGTACCACAGAAATATTACTGTCAAACTATTATATGTACAGAAGTAATTCTGTGTTTAACAGAAAAAAATATTTACCACATAATTATTTCTCTAAAACTATTCTGTCTACAGAAACAAATATTTATCACATAATTATTCTGTAAAACTATTCTGTGTACAGAAATAATATGTACCACAGAATTATTACTCAGTCAAACTATTTTGTAGTACAGAATAAATTCTGTGCTACATAATTTTGTTTCTGTCACCGCAGAGTTATTTCTCTCACAGAAATAATTCTGTCCACAGAATGATTTCTGTTCCCACAAAAGGAATTAGGCTGCCATATTTTTTTTTTTATTAGTTTATGAATCTAGCAAAGAAAAAAAACTGATGAGGGGGGAGGATTTCTTTGTTTTTTGTTTTGTTTTTTTTTTTTTGCTAACCCCACCCCCATTTTACCGATGTTCACAAGTAAATCAATGGTTAGGGACACATAAAAAGTCATAAGAATGGAATCAAATTTATATTTTTTTTAATATGTTTTTGTTGTACCAGTAAACATATTTGCAAGAAATCCTGAGCTTTTTAAGTGAAAAAAGATGGAAAAAGGACCGTTTGAAATAAAAATATATGTTGATTGAAAAAAAAAAATCAGAATTTCCCCAAAAGTGGTGAGGGAGGTTGTGTTAAACTAATATTTTTTTATGGGGCCTTAATTCTGTTCACTCAGAATTTATTCTGTAAAGCCTATGTAAATTAGGAAGTCGAGTTTTCATATCCATCAAGAGTTATTAGAGACTAAGAAAGTTCGCAGGTTTTCTGCTGTGCCATACTTAATTGATAGTACTTGTTATGATATAGAACATTAAACCATTAGTTCCTATCATCAAACACAACCACTTCCATGCGGAACAAATGCTGTATGAATAACCATACCTCCTAGTATAACCATGGTGTCACACGGCCTCTGTGAACCCGTCTGACAAAAGGTCCGAACATGTATTTACAGGAGACACAAAGAATCATCAAACAAATAATTATCAAATTACTTATTTATTACAGAGTAAGTGCACCCACCAGCTTTACGTTGGGGAATCAAGTTCGCATGCATATCATAAAATTAAAAAAAAACAAAGTTTCCTATCTATAAAGGACCATTTATCATTTCTTCAAATACAAACCGTTAATGAAATATTAAAAATGCATCTATAATTTAACTCCACGTTTTTCACTCACCATTGCCTCACTATCTAGGCTGATATAATAGAAAGAATAATCACTTCGTTAGCATCACTTATTGCTCATCACGGTTTTGTATGTGTAGCTATGATACACGCAATATCCTATCATTTCAATTTTCTGTTTAATTAAAAAAAAAAAAAAACCTTCATTCTTTATCACTAATATTAACTGTCATCATGGAATTTCATCACTAACATTAACTGTCATCATCGAATTTCATCACTCATATTAACTTTCATCATGGAATTTCATCACTATTATTATACGTTTTCTAATCATCTCAAACAAATACTACCGTAATTAACAAGTAGTAGTAGTTACACATTAATTCTTTAACAATACAACTTATCAGTACAGCTCTTCCATCAAATATTCCGTTATAAAATAGAATAACCATTGATTACCAGTTTAAACATTACTAATTACCCTTATGGCATTTAAACTATCACAGAAATTTCAATCGTCTTCATTAAATATATATATATCTGTATACGTAGCAAATATCTTTTGACTTAGATGGCTTATCTTATGATCATTAATTTCTTTTCACAATTATGTAATATCAATTTGCTTTCTATATCATATGTATTTCAACAATAAGTTCACTTTTATTCACTCCGTTATTAGCTAGTAGAGTTCACTATTCCAATTCAAAATAATGCATTTCACTTCAGTACGTTTTCTGCACCGTGAGGTAGCTCGCATATACGGTCTCAACTTCAACTTCTTGTTATTTTTGTTACGTATCTCGCGTTAACAAAGTTTAACTCAATAATAAGTTCACTGTAACTCACGTATCAGGAGTATGTGTAAAATTTCTGGTTTTCACCATGCAGGTACCGTAGCTCATTTAGATCCGTAGTTTTAGCTGCAACCG